TTCTCTTTCAACGGACATTTTGTCGAAAGAGAGCAAAAGCACGAGCGTAGTACATGTCCTCACATATTGTATTTTTCTGGTAGCGTGCTAATGAGCGCTCAGCACCTGTGCCCCGTTTATATCTGTAATGATGCTCCATACATGATCATTATATGCAATACAGGGTGCTGGCAGATGGCTCGGGCGCTGTTCATGCATTTTATACAAGTTGCTGGCACCTGCATTCACATGCAGTTCTTGAGTGTTTTCGGCGGTTATGCAACCGATGTCATCCACGTCGAGCATGTGCAAGGCTTATCGGTTTAATATTGGCGGGCCCATTACAAGGTTTTTATCATTAAGTCCTTCCATACATTCTCGCTACCTTGCCATAGGGTGTACGTTCTGAAGAGCACGTAAGGTCTCTTTTTTGCACGTCAATGTGTCGTAAACTTTTGACGCCATGAATCCAGCCACTGTGCAATAGCATGTAATGTGTTGAAGACGAGGAGCATGGGTGGGCAGGAATTGACAAAAGACAAAAGAAGCAAGCATTCTCATCATTAGGCGTGCTGTTATGCTTCGATCCGCTACATTCGCTCTTCTCTCAGCTTGCACTGACATTTAAAAACACTGAAAATAGAGCTACGTTGACCATCAGATCCATCCCACCGCAGCTTGTTTACAGGCGTCTCCGACCATCACGCCCTCTTGTGATCACATCTCATTATTCAATTTCTGAGCCTGACATCATCCAGATGCATCAGTATCTCGCCAGAAACAACACAGGCATTTTTCGACACGCTCAGTGTTCCCTTCGATGATGGATTTCTTTTCGCCTACCATCTTTTCCGAAATTAGCAGCCTACAGTGAGATACATATGCCTCCGGACCGAGGCCAACATGGACTTCCGAGGCCGAGGCAGAAGCTGACTGTCTCTCTAGCACCTGACATCGTCACGCGCCCGTCTGTGAATGTCTGGCCCCGCGTACTGGGCCCTCGCCGCTAGATGGCTCCGCGTACTGATCCCTCGCCGCTAGATGGCTCCGCACACTGGTCCCTCGCCGCTGGATGGCTCCGCGCACTGATCCCCCGCCGCTGGATGGCTCCGCGCACTGATCCCCCGCCGCTAGATGGCTCCGCGTACTGGTCCCTCGCCGCTGGATAGCTCCGCGCACTGGTCCCTCGCCGCCGGATAGCTCCGCGCACTGGTCCCTCGCCGCTGGATAGCTCCGCGCACTGGTCCCTCGCCGCTGGATAGCTCCGCGCACTGGTCCCTCGCCGCTAGATGGCTCCGCACACTGGTCTCTCGCAGCTGGATAGCTCCGCGTACTGGTCTCTCGCAGCTGGATAGCTCCGCGCACTGGTCTCTCGCCGCTGGATAGCTCCGCGCACTGGTCCCTCGCCGCTAGATAGCTCCGCGCACTGGTCCCTCGCCGCTAGATGGCTCCGCGCACTGGTCCCTCGCCGCTGGATAGCTCCGCGCACTGGTCTCTCGCCGCTGGATAGCTCCGCGCACTGGTCCCTCGCCGCTAGATGGCTCCGCGTACTGGTCTCTCGCCGCTGGATAGCTCCGCACACTGGTCCCTCGCCGCCGGATAGCTCCGCGCACTGGTCCCTCGCCGCTGGATAGCTCCGCGCACTGATCCCCCGCCGCTAGATGGCTCCGCGTACTGATCCCCCGCCGCTAGATGGCTCCGCACACTGGTCCCTCGCCGCTGGATAGCTCCGCGCACTGGTCCCTCGCCGCTGGATAGCTCCGCGCACTGATCCCTCGCCGCTGGATAGCTCCGCGCACTGATCCCCCGCCGCTAGATGGCTCCGCGCACTGGTCCCTCGCCTCTGGATAGCTCCGCGCACTGGTCCCTCGCCGCTGGATAGCTCCGCGCACTGGTCCCTCGCCGCTAGATGGCTCCGCGTACTGGTCTCTCGCAGCTGGATAGCTCCGCGTACTGGTCTCTCGCCGCTGGATAGCTCCGCACACTGGTCCCTCGCCGCTGGATAGCTCCGCGCACTGGTCCCTCGCCGCTAGATGGCTCCGCACACTGGTCTCTCGCAGCTGGATAGCTCCGCGTACTGGTCTCTCGCAGCTGGATAGCTCCGCGCACTGGTCTCTCGCCGCTGGATAGCTCCGCGCACTGATCCCCCGCCGCTGGATAGCTCCGCGCACTGATCCCCCCGCCGCTAGATGGCTCCGCGCACTGGTCCCTCGCCGCTGGATAGCTCCGCGCACTGGTCCCTCGCCGCTAGATGGCTCCGCGTACTGTGCCCTCGCCGCTAGATGGCTCCGCGTACTGATCCCTCGCCGCTAGATGGCTCCGCACACTGGTCCCTCGCCGCTAGATGGCTCCGCGCACTGGTCCCTCGCCGCTAGATGGCTCCGCGTACTGATCCCCCGCCGCTAGATGGCTCCGCGCACTGATCCCTCGCCGCTAGATGGCTCCGCACACTGGTCCCTCGCCGCTAGATGGTTCCGCGCACTGGTCCCTCGCCGCTGGACCGCCGGGCGCTCGAGAGAACGGTAAAAATTGTTTTATCGTGGCAGGACGCTGCCATGGTGAGCGCAATGGCCGCCGGGGAGATCAGCACAGGCCATGTGGAAACGGCGTGCAAGAGGCGGGGAATTGGATGCACGTGGTCAGAGAGGCGAAGTAGTGATACGTCCGTGGACATGGTTTGGCCAAAGGAAATGTCTTTCGCTCTTAACGCAATGAGCATGTTTGTCGGCTGGCTGTAATACGTAGCTTACTTTGCGTGGTGACCACGTAGTGATGCTCGTGGACTCATCTTCATTGTACGTCGCATTTTACCTTGATCCGAAGGCTCCTGAGCACTGGAGACGTACCATGTATCACTTGCTTCACCAAAGTGACTTATCCTTGATTCACCAAAATGGCCTATCTTTACATTGGTTCGCGGACAACGTGCGCTGAAAGCCCTTTACGCGGGTTTGACAATCAAAAACAACAAACAGCATATTGCAGTACGGTAACCAAGAACGACGGTATGAATATTGGTTCACGTTCTCGCTGGCGAGCGCCAGGGCGGGGATGCCATGAATTGTTGTGTTCATTTATAACACTGTCCCTTCCAGAGTGATGTATCCTATTTCTTCTTTGCGTCAGCCCGACGTTTAGTTCACTTCTACCACTACTCTTACTTGAAGGCACGCAAAATTTGCTGAACCGAGGGTGTCTATGAATGAAAATAAGGATTCTCAGCCTTGTCATCTGGACAAATGGATTCACGGCGGAACGGTAAGCTGGATTACGCTATCAGCAGGACAACTCCGGGTACCAAAATCGTCTATGGTCATTAGTTCACAAAAGAGCGAATGTTGAGCTTTGTTCGTTCGAGGCATAATAGACCGCCCTCCAACCTGGGAGTCGTTACAGCGTCACAACTATCAGCTCCAAACCGAACTCTAGACCGCTCTGTGTACTAGAAATCTCCGGAGCCGCCTTCACTGCTAACCAAGGACCCGAAATTTAAATTTCCCCTTGGTGCAGAGCCGACGAAACACCCGATCGGCGGACCACAACGGCATGTTCTGGTACCTTCAACGAGCTACAGCGAAGTCCGAGTTCACGACAACTTTGCCCCTGGCGCCTGCTTCCCTGCAAATCGGCGCGCGTATGTGTCCTAAAACATTTCTCGGTGACGGGTTTGGCAAGGCTCGCCTGAAGCGCGTGACGGCTTGGTGGGCTTCCCCTCGTTACTTCCCCCCCCCCCCCAATCTGAGAGAGGGAGAGTGGGGAGAGGGTTGCATGCAGTCGAAGGGTGGAGTCGTCAACACTTCCCTGGCCATTCCTTCAACGGAATGGTCCGGCTTCAGCTCTGGTCCGGCTATAGTGGTTCATGATATCCAGAAACAATGCCGACAAAGAAATCGTGATGTCATTGACCGCCGACCTCCAGGGGGATACCGACGCGTTGTTTTGCCCCCCCCCCCCCCCCCCCGCCTTACTCTGAGCCAGATATGGTCGAAAACCTAGCGCAATGCCGTCTCGAATTCGAAGCTCTGGCTGTTTTCAACGTACGGTCTTCTACCGCGCAGCAAGGCGCTCCGAATCCGCACTCGGACTCCGCCGACCACGCGCGATGCGTCCGCAGGGGCCGGGTCAGCTGGCGCAACCCACTCTGCGATATTGCGGTCCCATCCTGCAGGGACGGACGCGAAGCATGCAATGCGCGTCCAACGTCTGTCAACCGCACTGCTCGCTCGGCGAAACAGGCTCACGTTGTATCAGTGGAGTCAGCTCACGTTGGGCCCCTTTAGAACTAAGGACAGCGACCGGTACAAGCCCGCAACCCGGTGCGAGGCTCGTTGTCAACTGGTGCCTGTGGTTATTCGCTGTGTGTATCTGTAGCTGGTAAGCACACAGCTGATCACAATTTCACACACCTGTGCACTTTAGACTTACGAAGGCAAACGCCCTGACGCCGTCGTAACTGTCACTTGTTACCCGGCGATGGAGGTAAAGGTACGTATGTGATGATGTCACAGGGCATTTGACGTGGACATTACATCAAGTGAAATTAAGAATAACGTGAGCCATGCCACAACAGCATGACTCAGAGCCAAAGCAATGTCGATGGACTCGTAGTTTTGAGCTCTTTTATTGATTTACTTCTAAAAATGATAATTTTAACCAATAATTTCCACACCGAACGGCACGACCTCCCGGTTGTTCGTTCAGAAACATATTTCACTCAGTTTTAGACCGAAACAAAAGAGCGTTTATCATTTCCTTATGCCAGTAGAGCAATTACCTAATTTGTGCAAAAGAAGTAGCACACTTACGCGGCATTCATTATTACAGCGTGTATGCATGCAGTTAATGCAGTTCATAATCGAAGCTGAAAGACATGTCATAGCTATCGAAACGACTTCAACGGGCTGCCGTCTCTGCCAGATCCAGAGGTGTCCGTCGGTGGACGATGCCACATGGTGCAATTCAAGCAGCGTTCAACGTGCTTGGTATCACCACCGACCGCGAGACCAGTTTGGCCTGCTTACCTTGATTAGCCTGTCAGAGCCACCAGTTTCACCCGCGCGCGTGGTCGCGCCAGCGAAGCGTGTCACCGACTCTCAGTTCCTGCTGGAACGGCGTCGATGCTACAGGACGGGCAAGTGGCTTCTTTGACCCCACATGGTCAGGTGCTGGGAGCTCCGCCGGCGGTCCCCACCCCGCGCCATTCCGCTGACACAATGAGCTGCGTGGCTCGGTGATGCGAGGCACCGCAAGGTGATGGACAGGAAGTCGTGGCTAACTGCCTCTGACATCTAGCGGCAAGATGGGAACTAAGAGTGTATAGCATCCGCCGCTGGAATTCCCTAGGTATGACGGTTGCTGGATATTTGAGTGTCGTAGGAGTGTAAAATGATTGCCCTGTTAATCTTTCTTAACGCCATGGTGTGAGTTCACTAATGCCTAAACAGGTCCAGAGCTGCGGTTTTTACCGCGTTGCCAGCGTATTCATCAAATGATATAGGTAAAAATGTCTGCAGGTGCAGTCCAACACTTCGGTGCAATTTTTACGGATTGCTGCCCGGATTCTTCGCACGCACGGCACGGCTCACGGCGCTTGGCATCTCTCATCCTGACATCATCATCTTGACATCTCGCATCTCGTCCTCTCTACAGCGTGAATCGTCCTCCTTACAGCCATCTTTTCCTGAGGTTCGGTGGCCACATGTCAAAGTCAGAATCGCATGCCGATCGAGCCTGCTTCAGTGGTAAAACACTGGATGGGATCGAGCGCCTCTCTTTTTAGGAGGATACTGCGATGCAAACGCACTATGATCCAGTCGGCCGGGCATGGCAAACAGGTCGCGTTCAAGTCTCTGGAGTACCGCCTGTTGACCTGCCAACGAGCCCAAACTTCTCTAAGACTGATGACGCGCTGGGACTGTGTTTTTCTGCCGAGAATTTCGACTCCTTTCAGTCACACGTGGCACGGAAACCAGTGAAAACTGGTAGGGGAGAATAAATCTGACACACCGTCTTCCAGCCGCAGACTGCGTGAGTCTAAAAAGAGGGTCGTTGACGGATTCAGTGTTGAATGCCTGAGGGTATGGGGTACGGCATCACGTTATACAGTCTAAATGTAAGGTTTAGACTAAGACAGCTGGTAGGCGGCTAGTAGGGGATGACGGTAGATACTTATTAGGCTTCCGACTGTCAGAGGTATGATGACGTCAGAGGTCTACCAGGCACAAGATTTTGAGCCTTATGCTTAGATCTGGCCGGAAGGAAGATTCCTGAATCTTTCATAATTCGTCTTTAGTCATTTCGTCAGTATTCATTGCGTTTACCTCACCACTCATCATTGCTTTCATTTCATTATTTATCATTAATGCATTCTATCATCTATCATTTGATTAATTTCATCATTCATCATGGTAGGCATCAGTGGCTCGCTCTTTACGGACAATGCTCTTCTGTCCCTCCGGAGCGAACTCCTCGTATTGCAAAGCTATGATGCTTTGCGCTACACGCTCAAATGCAGGAACAGGAGTCCTGGGATGTGTTCCTTGTTTAACGTTAAGCTGGCTAAAGGCGAGCATACAAATTTTCTGGAAAGAAGACGCTGATGCTGCCGATGCTATGACCCCCTGAAACTGTAGGCTGATGTCCAACCCCTAGTTGTTTCAGTTTGTTTCAGTTTGTTTCAGTTTCAGCTATTTGTTTCGGTTTTGGATGTGGCTGAGTGGATGACATGCCAAAGAGTGCTCGGGGCAGAGGCGGCGGCTCGTCGCGAGAGCTTTGGTGAACGGCAGGTTATGTCGACAGCGATGGCCAGTCTCATAAAATCAGGTGGTGAAGAATGCAAGCTTTGAATTCTTGCGTTTAATTTCTACTGTTGTGGTACTTCCCTCGTAGTTCCCCGAGACAAAAACAGTCCAACAACCCAACATTCAGAATACACTACAACGAACACTGATGCTGACCAACATAAAATGGGCACCAGAAGCCTTTTGCTTAGAACATATATTTAGATTCGCGGCGGTTTTATGGGGAGGTCTGGGGGCGCTTTTGACACCCACCAATCTTGGGTTTGGCGTTGTTTCACCTTACTTGAACCGAATTTTCACCTTGCTTGAAGCTGAGAACCTCAAATTTGGAAAAAGTGAGTTCAAATACAGCCCGACGCAACCTGTAAATTTGGTCTGTCTAACTCTCTTAGTTTTTAATATCTCAGGGGGTCAAATTGCCCCCACATCCCACCCGAGCGAAGGTTGCTTAACCGGCCACCCGGGGGCGTGTCAAGCCGGGAGGTTAAACCGCGCACGGTCTGCGCATCCAGATGTTGTCGAAGGACTCTGACCGTCGGAGAGGTCTCTTGAAATGTTATGTTATGTTAATGTTAGGTTATGTAAATGTTATGTTAGTCTTTCGACCAGTCTGAGCCCTGCCGTGACCTCCCTGCTGGTCAAGGACGCCTTCGGATTTCTTGGCCATTTCTGGCCGCTGACCATTCTAGCGTCGCGCTGTCTCGTGAATCATCCCGAGTGTGCCTTTTAGCCAAGTGGACTGCCAGGATACATACAGACTATTTCAGGTCACTCTCCCCCCCCCCCCCTTATCCGACTGCTGTACCACTAGCGTCATGTGTGGGCGATCTGAGTTCAACATGGACGTGTTAACAATAGGCAGATCTCCTGCGAAACTTTAAACAATATCCAAACTTCGTCTCGCTGCAGGTGAGCTTTCCCTTGAGCCTCAACGACTCTGTGGGGGAAAAGGTCTGCCAGATGTCTCAAAGATTCTGTAACCTCGATTAAGCATCGCAGTTTCTCACAAGGTGTCCGTACTTCGCCCCGGAGGCGATAAGCGCACGGAGCACTTCTCAGGCTGCTTTTAGAAATAGCCTCTGGATGGTACTTCCGACGACTTTTGCAGTGTTAGGGCTAATTTCGTCCCGGTGGCTTAATTGGTTAGAGCGCCTGCCTTCCGATCCACCCATCCGTGGCGGCGTGGGTTCCAGTCGCTTTAGGGCGCTCGCTATTTGCTCTTGATAGCCATGGTCTGCGGCCGGTGGCAGTGGTTGCGCTGAGGGTCAGGTGACGTCAGAGGGCAGGACGGACCGTGCCGAGCATTACGGCACGTTAAGCTTTCACCTCCAAATTCTGCCGTTGTATTGGAATTGCGCCATCGGGTGGTAGGGGTCAGGGCTCACACGTCAAACACTTCTTAACGCGCGCGCTGATCCCAGACATCCATCCATTCAAATGGTTCGGATCAAATCTTTAAAAAAGTATATTTTAAAAATATGCGTTATTTCCTTTCCCTTCCTCAGTTTGTATCGGGCTTACGTTGTAACTCCTAAGAGGTACGTCACTGGCTTATCATAAATCACAATGGGGTAAACCAGCAGATGTATCACGTAACGCTATCTCTGTGATCCCCAACGTGTCATATGTACTAAAATGTGTTACGGTAACCATTCTTGTGCAAGCTTGAAGTTGGAAGGCGCCTTTTGGGGTGTGGGACAAGCGAGATGACAACAATTATCATCACCACGCACATAACACCTTAACATAAGGGAGTAAAATTTTCGCCTTTGACTTTTGGAAACCCAGTATGTAAGTGTCATTGATGCACTGGAATATTATAGTTGTTGAGTTTGGCGGGAAGCGGAATGCTAATCTGTAATGGCCAAGTGCGGGAGCCATCAAAACGTCCAAGATTGCAGCGTCCAGTGCTCATATCATCCAGCACGCTTCCAATTCCGTGCCCATTGAGGGCGTCTATAACATACAAGCGCGAAAGTCCAAAGTCGTAACATCCAGTGCTCAAGGCGTTCAGCATTCACGGCACTCAGGATAGTTTTATCCTTGTCGCTAGATGGCACTACAGTAGCATGTTTTTTTACTCCGGTCGCTATTTCTCCCTTTTCTCAACAGATGGCCTACTGAACCTGGAATTCCACCGATAGTCACGTGATGTGCACTGTGGTACGTGGTTGCTATCAAGCCCCTGCATTACTGCGTTCTGGGTAGGCGACGCCGTGATGTCATGGTGGGACTAAATCATATGACACCACGCGACGGCGGCGTGAAAAGCTGCTGTCTCCAACCTAGTTTAAACATAAATATCTCAATAAATCGGACTTTTTCGACCCAGCACCTCCAATGAAACATTTCCAGGTGGGAAATGATATTGGTTTATACCAGACCTACAAAAATAATGCTAAAATGCACTCTCACCCTGCCCGCGACAGAGAGATAGGGTAGCCCATTTACCAGTGATTTGTTCCAAAGAACTCCAGTGGAAAGTGGTTTGAAATATTGTGTGTAAAAGAGTACAACATAACACAATAACAATATGGGGGAGGGGGAAACGGCTGGGCAGACGGGTTCTCTGCACCTTGAAAAGCGTATTGGGAAGTTAGAAAGCACATCCTGTAGCCTTAGGAGGGGCGTCGCCAGGGTGGACGCAGGGTTGGCCTGCCCAGATGGGGCAGTGAGTAGTAAACCCTAGGAGGCGTAAATGCAGCGCGCGCCATTTCAGTTCAGGATAGCCCATCAACCACATATTTCCATGCGTTACATTATATAGATTCACACATTTGCACTCCTATTTTGAGTAACACATATCCCTCGTTGCCTAACTTCGTTCATAATTCGGCAAGATATTACGGGGGTTAAACAACGTGAAAAGAACGACAAACGCACAGTATGCTGTTGTATTAACCAAGACGTGCATCATAGAAAACCTGCCGCCACGTGCAATGGTGAAAACATGGAATTAAATGACGGAACTTGCCGCCACCGTGCTACCTCCTGGCCACGTAACCGCTAGATACCGACATTAACATGAAACTCTGGCATTTTTTTACTGTGTCGCTGTGTGCGATCGGCTGCTAGTCGCCTGACGTCTACACTTTTCGTCTTCCGCATCAACAGCATCTCCCGTTTTGTAGCATGCACCACACGCTGGGCTTATCGTAAGCGCACCGTGCGCACTTACATCCATTACCGAAGGCTTAGCGAAAAGATGAAAGGAGCTGAGCACGTTTTAACTATTATGATCAGATCCAAATTACATAGTTTGTATCTTTGTTTCAAATACAAATTACATACTTGACACCAAATTACATCTTTGTCATAGTTACCTCGGTATTATGCGTTCACTGCAGCTCGTCTTACGCGGTAACGGCAACCGGTCGTCTTGGTCGATCAT